CAGGACAATCTCTCAGTTTTTTTGGGGGGGGGGTTTCACTATAAGGTGCATGTACTTTCTGGAGAGACAGAGACAGAAAGTGAGAAATCATCCCCCCCAGGGCGGATGGTCATGGTGCACCCCCTTCTCTTCCATTCTCCTCTTGGGATTTGGGGCATGCATGCACATGGCCCCTGAGTGAGTTTCAAGCCACCAGCTCCTGGACTCAAACCATAGTTGCTCATGTGGGAATCCAGCAATGTAACCATTATACCATATGCTGGCCCCAATCTCTCATCTTAAAGTTCTTAATTTTAATTGCATTTTTAAGGTCCTCCTTGCCATGCATGTAACATAGTCACACATTCTGGGGCCTGAGACATAGACATCTCTGGGGACCTACTATAGCTGGGTTTGTCCCAGAAGCTTTAATCTCTGAGCAATCCTTGGGGAAGGCAGACAAGGAGGTTCAGTATTTTTGGGCTCTCCCATATCTATATGGATGTTTTTGCTCCTGCCAGGCCATGAAAAGGGGAAGAGAAGCCACTAGTGTCTGCCTTCTCCCTGAATGTGTGGGTTTCCTGCTTTGAACTTTCCTTTCTCCCACCTTGGAAACCTCTGCATTGCATGTGAACTGGAGAAGACCTGTCTCTGTGTCCTGAGTTCTCTTCACTCAGGGCTTATTGCCCTCCAAGTTCAGCTCAGTTGGACGAAATAGTCTCTCTACCCATATTTTTGAGCAATCCACAAGCTTGGTTGTTCATAAGTAAATAAAAGTCTTGGAAATTTGAATCTCTCCAATTCTCAACAAAACCTAGCTTTCAGGATGACAGTGTGGCTGGGGATGTGAGGAAGAATAGTTTGACAGTGAAATCTGGGCAATGCCTTTTCCATTGAGGTCAGCACCCAGCCTCTCAGTTCCTCTGTATTAAGCTTTATGGTCTAGGCTTCATGGGAAGGCTACAGCATGGTGTGTGTGTGTGTGTGTGTGTATGTGTGTATATGTATGTGTAAACAATAAACACACTGGCTGAACATGCTCAAAACACTTCTTTCTATAGCACTTACTAATGTTGCCTGGTTAAGAGGCAACGGAGGGCCAGCAGGTATGCACAAAGTACACAGAGGCATTTAAAATGATTGCGTTGGAGTTACTAGGGAGGCAGTTGACTCAGACTGTTAGTTCTTTCAAGAACTAGTTTAATTAGAATGTCAGCTCTGGGTGGTGAAATGGTTACGATGCTGGACTTCCAAGTACCTGACAGTGACATGGCGACATGGCTGCCTAAACTCATGCTGGGCACGTGTGCATGCATGTCTAAGACCCCAAGAGGAGAATGCAGGGGAAGAGAATGTGGCGTGGCCACCCCCCTTGGGTGATTTCTGGCTTTCTGTCTCTGTCTTTCTGGTGAGCACACAAGTCCTATAGCAAAAATCTCTCTCTCTGGAAAAAAAAAAAAAAAAGGCTATGGCGGGGCCGGAAGGTCGCATGGTGGTGAAGATGCTGGATTCCCACATGGCTGACGCTGATTCAAGTCCAGGACCAGGCGGCTTGAAAATCATGCCAGGTGTCAGGTGTGTGGGGACATGCCCTGATACCAAAGGGAGAATGGAGAAGAAGGCTTGAAGCACGCCTATTTCCCTGGGGGATGATTTCTCACTTTTCCTCCCCTGTCTGTCTTGGCAAGTGCATGGGCTTGAAGCCAAAAAGCAAAAAGCAAAAAACAAAAAACAAACAAACAAAAAGCAATGGAGAGGTTTTTAGCATGGGAGAAAGGAAAGTTCAAAGCAGGAAACATACATTCAGTGAGAAAGCAGACACTACTGGCTCTTTTCCCGTTTTAATGGGCTTATAAGAGCAAAAGCATTCCTGTAGCTACGGGAGAACTAAAACAAATATTATGCCTAGTCCTCTGCCTTCCCCAAGAATTGCCCAAAGTGACCGAAAGCTTCCAGGATATTTTGTTTCAAAGTCTACATACTGATGCTGTTTGGTCCCTGCCCGTCCCTGATATGAAATGTTGGTTCTTTTGTAGACTGGCGGAAAGAGCAGTTCCAGGCCTGTGAGTGACTCGTGTCCTTTCTGGGTCTCCCCCTCCTGCCCTCATGGTTCCTGGCTTCTCCTTCGGTTCTCTGTGCTGATACAGATGCTGGGACCATCCATGGTGGTGGGTGGGTGTTGACAATGACAGTCACAGTGCTGGGGCTGGTGGGTAGGGCTAAGGTCAGATGGTAAATAGGTGTCTGTCAGTTCCTGTGCTGGTCCTCAAGGGCTCTGTGATGTGCTTAAAGCATAAATCTGTCCTTTGGTTCCTTCCCCTGCTTGAAGCGCTGTGGCCTTGAATCCCATGAACCACCAGGCTCTCTTCCAGGGGCTTAGCCCTTCCCTGTGTAGCTAACGGCTCTGAGGGAGAGGGTGGCTCTGTGCCCTTGCTGTAGGTGAGGGAGGGTCTTGCATGGTTGGTCACTCTCTCTGCAGGGGCTGTCACTCTGGATCCATGTTCTGCCCATCGTAACCTTGCTGTCTCTCATGAAAGGACAAGTGTGACCTGGAAGGACCCCTGTGAGGGCTCAGGTGGTGTCCCCAGCGTGCTGGGCCTCGAGGGCATTAAGTCCGGGCGCTGTTACTGGGAGGTGGAGATCAGGAATGCAGACAGCACTGAGTGGGCTCTGGGGGTCTGCAGGGAAGATGCGAAAAGGAGAAGCTCGTGCAGAAAGACTCCAGAGAGAGGGTTCTGGGTGGTGGGGAGGTCTGTATATGGATATTATGCTCGCACTAGACAAATATCTCGACTATCCCTTAGGCAGCCTCCCCACAGAGTGGGGGTTTTCCTGGACTACAGTGAGGGGGACGTCTCCTTCTACAACATGACTGATGGGTCCCACATCTTCTCTTTCCCTCCGGCTTCCTTCTCTGGGACTCTTTTTCCTTACTTCAGGCTTAGGCTAGGAGATGTGTCCATGACCATATGCACCACAGTGGATGGGCCTGAGGCCCTGTGCCCCTTAACAATTCTTTAGAGCCTACAAAACCCTCAGGGGAGCTCGCACCCTTGCTCAGCACAGACTCAGGCCGAATTGCCATCACTCCCCTGAAACTTTAAGGCAGGGATGCCCACAGGGCCCCACCCCTGTCCCTGAGCCCTCCCTGCTGCTCCTCCTGAGGTCGCAGACGCCTGTGGGAAGAGCCTCTGAGGTGAGTCCTGATGACCCAGCAGCCCTGACCCCCTCTCTGGATGCAGCCCCCTGGGGTGTGGGTGTGAGGACGTCCGGTCATGCCTGTGCTCAGGAAGCAGAAGGTAGAAGCTGACCGTGGGCCAGTCCCAGTGGGCTGTGCTGCCAGGATGCTGTGCTCTGAGGGCCGGGACAC